CCAGCCTGTCATCCACTCCCACCTGTGCCTGCCGTCCTCTGAAAGGCAATGTCCTCATGGCAGCTGAGGGAGTATGGCATACCAGAGTCACACGGAGCCAGGAGTGGAGACCTCCCCCTCAACATGGCAAGTGGGCTTATCCCTTTGAGTCTCGTGTTTTAATCTGCAAGCGTGGAAAGGATGAGGCTGCTCTTGGGAAGCGGGGGCTATCCCGGTCAGATGGTGTAGGCTGGATACAAAGCTAAGGGTGGTGGGTGCTCTGGGAAGGCTGGTCCCTCTCCTTCCTTCTCTCCTCCCTCCCTCCTTCCTTCCTTCCTTCTCTTCTCCCTTCTTCCTTCCTTCCCTCCTTCCTTCCTTCCTTCTCTCCTCCCTCCCTCCTTCCTTCCCTCCTTCCTTCTCTCCTCCCTTCTTCCTTCCTTCCCTCCTTCTCTTCTCCCTTCTTCCTTCCTTCCCTCCTTCCTTCCTTCCTTCCCTCCTTCCTTCTCTCCTCCCTTCTTCCTTCCCTCCTTCCTTCTCTCCTCCCTTCTTCCTTCCTTCCCTCCTCTCCTCCCTTCTTCCTTCCTTCCTTCCTTCTCTCCTCCCTTCTTCCTTCCTTCCCTCCTTCCTTCCTTCCTTCTCTTCTCCCTTCTTCCTTCCTTCTCTCCTCCCTCCTTCCTTCCTTCCCTCCTTCTCTTCTCCCTCCTTCCTTCCTTCCCTCCTTCTCTTCTCCCTTCTTCCTTCCTTCCTTCCTTCTCTCCTCCCTTCTTCCTTCCTTCCTTCCTTCTCTCCTCCCTTCTTCCTTCCTTCCCTCCTTCTCTTCTCCCTTCTTCCTTCCTTCCCTCCTTCTCTCCTCCCTTCTTCCTTCCTTCCTTCCTTCTCTTCTCCCTTCTTCCTTCCTTCCTTCCTTCTCTTCTCCCTTCTTCCTTCCTTCCTTCCTTCCTTCTTTCCTCCCTTCTTCCTTCCTTCCTTCCTTCTCTCCTCCCTCCTTCCTTCCTTCCTTCTCTTCTCCCTTCTTCCTTCCTTCCTTCCTTCTTTCCTCCCTTCTTCCTTCCTTCCTTCCTTCTCTCCTCCCTTCTTCCTTCCTTCCTTCTCTCCTCCCTTCTTCCTTCCTTCCTTCCTTCTTTCCTCCCTTCTTCCTTCCCTCCTTCCTTCTCTCCTCCCTTCTTCCTTCCTTCCCTCCTTCTCTTCTCCCTTCTTCCTTCCTTCCTTCCTTCTCTTCTCCCTTCTTCCTTCCTTCCCTCCTTCCTTCCTTCCTTCTCTTCTCCCTTCTTCCTTCCTTCCCTCCTTCCTTCCTTCTCTCCTCCCTCCCTCCTTCCTTCCTTCCTTCTTTCTCTCCTCCCTTCTTCCTTCCTTCCTTCCTTCTCTTCTCCCTTCTTCCTTCCTTCCCTCCTTCCTTCCTTCCTTCTCTCCTCCCTCCCTCCTTCCTTCCTTCCTTCTTTCTCTCCTCCCTTCTTCCCTCCTTCCTTCCTTCTCTCCTCCCTCCCTCCTTCCTTCCTTCCTTCTTTCTCTCCTCCCTTCTTCCTTCCTTCCTTCCTTGCTTCAGCACCATATCCATTGCAGGGACAATATGACTGGGAGTTTATGAGTTTGGAGAGACAAAGGCACATGCACACACAACCATCAGTGATGAGTTAGTGGAATCGCCTCTAACTTAGTTCACCATAGTTGCTCACCCAACTCATCCCTCCTCCTGCACCTGCTTAAAATCGCTTGGCTAGATGTCTCTTTTTAGTAAGACCACTTCATTTTACAACTCCAGGAGGGCATCAACCATGCTTTCTCCCCAGGAGAAATGGTGACCCTGGGGAGTTGTGTCTTTGCCGCCCCACAAAAGCCTCTTCTGTGTCACCTCCTCCATTTAGACTTCACCTGGCTTGTCCTTTCTGTGAAAGCCCAAAGCAGTTAATCTGAATTTGTCACAGAAACTCATCAACTCTGCCTTTGTCACACTTGGAGAGGGGGGAATCCAGCAGGGGCTAGCGATGGTGAAACACATCCTATAATCCTAGCACTTGGGAGACTGAGGCAGGAGTATCATGAATTCAATGCCAGTCTGGGCTACATGAGACTCTGTCTCAAAGAAAGAATAAAAAAGAAAACAGGAGAGGAAAACACTTTCCATTACAGATCAGATTTTACCTTTACATTCCCCAAAATACTGAGCACCATGCTAATGTGAAGCCAGTATTACCCTGATCCCAAATCGGCTAGACATCTCAATATAGTTTTAGTTTTATAGACTTTAACCCTCACCTCATCCTCTGCAGAAGAATTCAACTGGGTCAGAGTGCTAAATGAAAGAGCAAAATCTATGAAAGTTCTAGAAGAAAACTTGGAAGAAAATCCCGTTCGCCTTAGGTTAAACAAAAATGCTTTAACTTGGGCACCCCACTATGTTGGATTTCATCAATATTTAAAACAATTGCTCTCTGGAAGGTGCTAGCATCAAAATAAAACACAAGCCACAGACTGCAAGGAAATATTTGCAGAAGACATATCCAATAACGGATGTCTAGTCAGAATATATAAAGAACTCCTAAAATTTAATAATAAGTCAAATGACCCAATTTTTAATAGACAAAAGAACCGAACAGACATTGCATAAAAGATGAGCTACAGATGGCCAAAAAGCATGGGAAAAAATGTTAAACATCATTAGTCATCAGGGAAATGCAATTAAAATCACAATGAGATAGCATTAAACATCTATTATAATGGCTAAAATTAAAAAGACTGACAATGTGAGCATTGGCTAGGATACAGTGTAACATAGCTCTCATAGCTGCTGGTGGAGATACTAGATACAACAGCCACTTTGGAAAGCATTCTGGCAACATCTTGCAAAGCTGAAAAAGCTCTTGTAGCCCAGCAATCCCACGCATAGGCATTTGGGCAAATGCTCAAGAGACATGAAAACATACATCCATACAAAGATATATATATGAATGTTCATAGTAGCTCCATTCCTAATAGCTCACACTTGGAAGCAATCCAAATACTCATCAGTTGATAAATGGATAGGCATGTTATGGTCCAGCCATGCAATAGAAGGCATCCATGCATGCGATAATCTTAGTGAATTTTAAGTCTACTTTATTAGTTTCTTTTTGCTACTATAAAAAATGGCCACAAACAACATGACTTAAAACAACACAAGTGTTTTATCTGTAGGCCACATGGCCAGAATCAGTCTCACTGGACCGGGATGAAATTGTCAGAGGCCTAGTTTCATGAGAGGATTGAGAAAATCTGTTTCCTTATCTGGAATAACTCCTGGAGGCAACATGTGTGTAACCCCCATGCTAGGGAGACAGAAGCAAAGGACCCCTGACGGGGCAGTTTAGCCAAATTGGTGAATTCCAGCTTCAAGGAGAAAGCTTGCCTCAAAAAAAAGAAAGAAAAAAGGAAGGAAGGAAGGAAGGAAGGAAGGAAGGAAGGAAGGAAGGAAGGAAGGAAACAGAAAAGTAAGACACCTCTGACTGCCATCCACAGGTTCATATGTGCACGCTCACACACACACACAGAGACAGAGAGAGAGGGGGGGGAGGAAGAAAGAGAGAGAGAGGGAGAGAGAGAGAGAGAATACAAACAACCAAACAAGAAGAGTAAAGTAAGATTCAAGGGAATCAAGTGTCGCATAGTATGTCCATGATATAGTAAGTCATATACGGTCCCAAAGCCTCTGAATAGAAACACAGGTTTTCTGGCACATGTGACCCCTTGGCTTCCCTGACAATTTGGAACCCTCAGGCTGCATGGGCAGCACCATGTCCCAGAGCCCAGCATTCTATCCCACTCCATAGGGCACGCCCTAGCTCTCCGTACTGCATCAGTGTAAACCTGGATCAGCATGACCCTGGATTTCCCCGTCTCCCCATCCCGTGGCCAGCTGATCTCCAGCCACAGTACAAAGAGAGTATAACCTTTAAAAGGCTAAGCTTCACATTCATTCACTTAGGCTGTTTTATTTGGCCTTCTCCACCATTGGTGCTGATGGTGCAGATGTTGCCAACACTGCCAAACAGATAAGAAAAGCAAAGTAACTTCTGGCACAATGAGTAGGTAGAAGCCCAACTCAGAATCTTACCCCTACCCTATCCCACTGATACCACAAGTGCCAATTGTCTCAGAAAAAAGATCCTAAACCACCTTCTAGCCATGGCAGAGCCTCCCTTCCTCATCAGCAAGATGGAAAACATGGAACCCTGCCCTACCAAGCCCAGCAGGTATAAATGAAAAACAAAATAAAAAGTGGGGCTGGAGAGGAAGCTCAGTGGTTAAGAGCATCTGTTGCAGGTGGGCGGTGGAGGCGCACACCTTTAATCCCAGCACTGGGGAAGCAGAAGCAGATAGATCTCTGAATTCAAGGCCAGCCATAGTGAGTTTCAGGACAGCCAGGGCTATGTAAAGAGACCTTCATCAGAAGCAGAGGCAGACACCCATAGCTAAACACTGAACTGAATTCCTGGAATCCAGTGACAGAGATGGAGGAGTGATGAGCAAAGGGGTCAAGACTGGGCTGGTTTAACCCACAGAAACAGTTGACCTGAACAAGGGGGGAGCTCTTGGACCCCAGATTGATGGCTGTGTGGAAAGCATGGGACTGATCCAGACCCCCTGAATGTGGGTGTCAGTGAGGAGGCCTAGGTAATCTATGGGGCCTTGGTAGTATTTATTCCTGGCATACAAATGGACTTTGGGAGCCCATCCCACAATGAGGGATGCTCTCTCAGCCTGGACTCTTGGGGGAGGGCCTAGGTCCTGCCCTGGATGAAATGACAGACTCTGGAGATCCCCATGGAGGGCCTCACTCTCCCTGGGGATCGGAGTGGGGATTGGGTGGGGGCTGGGGGTCTGGGGGAGGAGGGGAGGAGAGGGAGCTGGGATTGACATGTAAAGCAAGCTTGTTTCTAATTTAAATTTTAAAAATTGTAAGGAAAAAAAAAGAGACCTGTATCAAACAACAACAAGGAACACTTGTTACTCTTTCCAAGAGCCCACATTCTGATCCCTGTACCTACATCAGGCAAGGCAGCTCACAACCACATGTGAGTCCAGTTCCTGTCCCAGTCATCCTGATGTCCTCTTCAGGGTCGCTGGGAAGCCACAAGCCCTTTGCAGACTTTAAAATGCTTTAACAAAAAAGGAGAGTCAGTTCCGATTCTTCTCTCAGAGTCGCAAATATTCTCCAAAAGCAAATAACTTCCACTTCCTTTAAGCTTCATCTCTGAGAAAATTTCTCCCCTGCTATCTTTAGCTCTAGTTAAAGCTGAGATAGCCTTCCCAACATTCCAACTTGGATCTCAAGGTCAGGCTTTAAATGCCTCCCTCCAGTTTTACCTATTCGGAAATCAGGCGATTTCCCCCAGCACCTCTGCCCTCCCCATCCCATTCCACCCTCAATCTCCATCTTTCAGCAATCAGTCCCTCTTCAAGAAGACAGAGGGCCAGCACCCATCATCAGCCTCAGCCATTTGACGCCTCCCCAATCAGACCAGCCATGACACTAATAACCCGTGATGCTAAGGGACATTCCAGTCCTCTCTCGGGCCTTACAACACCCACAGGACAAATGTAGGGATCCTCCATGCTGTGCAGCCAAGCTCTGCAGCCCCTGCCCCACGACACCTCCATCCCACACAAGCCAAGCTGCCCCCATTTCTTTGTTTTAAGGGGCGCAGGTGCGAATGTTCATGTGTGATTTGTGTATGCCTGTATGTGGAGACTGTAAGTTAACCTCCAGTGTCTGTCCTTGGAAGACATCCACCCTGCTTTCTTTCACAAGTTCTCTCAGTGAGACCTGGAGTCCACCACGTAAGCTAGGTGGTCTGGTCAGCTGGTCCCCAGGATGACCCTTCTCCAGCTTCCAGCTTCCAAGAGACTTGGATTACAAGCACGTTACACCTTTTTACACAGGTGCTGGGTATTGACTCAGGTCCTCTTACTTGAGCACGTTGCTAACAGAACTATGTACCCAGCTCTGGTCTCCATTTCTTAATAGTTAGGCCCTTTTCACACCTTTATGCACTGACTACATCTGCATTTCTCTTTCCTCCTATTCGGTTGTGTGGAATGTCAAGTGCAACCATTACATAAGCTTAAACTTATTTTAGATGAATCGAGGAACTGGGTTGCTTAAGTCAAGCAGATGGAGGTGAAGGTGTAGCTTGGTAGTAGGTGCTTGCCCTAGCATATGTAAAAGTCCAATGGATTGTACAAATAAGTATCTACCTGATCGCTGATAGGGTAGTAATTTCTAACCCATAGCAGAATAAAACAGAGGTTAATAACAATGACTATTGGCTAATATGCACTTACTTATCTTAGTTATTTTTTATTTTACATTTGTTTGTTTGTTTGGGAGGTGGGAGTACACATTCCAGGGCACTCCCATGGGTATAGTTCAGAGGACAGAACTGACACTCAGAAGTCAGTCTCCTACTAGAGGATCTACTAGTCAGATCTCTACTAGATTTGAAGATTAAACCTAGGTCATCGGACTTGGCAGCAAGCTCTAATCTCCACTGAGACAACTTGTTGGACCTTATTCATTTTAGCCAGATCTCCATATTAAAATTTAAACCTTAGGGCTGACAAGATGGCTCAGTGAATAGTGGTGCTAACCCCTAAGCCTGACAGCCTGAGTCCCATCCTCTGGGCCACTTCATGGAAGGAGAGAATCCTACAGACAAACTGTAATCTGACCACACCCAGGCTTGGTGCAGAAATACACACAAAATAACTAAAGAAATAAAGATGAGATAACAAGTAAAACTCAACCTGTACTTCATGCCACACCCCCAATGTAATCAAAATGGGTACTAGCATCACAGTAAACACTAAGATTCTAAGACTTCCAGAAGAAATCACTGTGGGAAGTCTTTGGACATTGGTGTAGTCAAGAATCTTGGAACAGAAAAGGCAAAAACCATAAATGAAAAATAAAACTAAACTGGAATTCATCAAAATTTTAAAATTCTGCTTTTTCAAAGACATTGCTACAGACAGGAGTAATGGTTACACAATGATATAAATATAATTGGTTATAATAAATTATGTAATTAACAAGACTAAGCTGCCTTTATTCTATTTTTTTTTTAGTTAGAAAGGATCTTGGGATACGACCCAGGGCAAGTAGTTTGAATGTAATCAGCCCCCGTAATCCCAAAGGGAGTGGCACTATTAGAAAGTGTGGTTTTATTGGAGTGGGTGTGGCCTTGTTGGAGGAAGTGTGACTTTGGGGGTGGGCTTTGAGGTCCCCTATGCTCAGGATACCGCCTAGTGTCACAGTCAACTTCCTGTTGCCTGTAAAATGTAGGACTCTCAACTCCTCCTCCAACCCACGTGTGCCTGCATGCTGCCATGCTCCACACCATGATGAAAATGGACTGGACCTCTGAAACTAAGTAAACCAGCCCCAAGGAAATGTTTTCCTTTGTAAGAGTTGCCATGGTCATGGTGTCTCTTCACAGCAATGAAACCCTAAGACAATGTACTAGTCACATGCCTGGAAGTTTCACTCCTAAGGAAAAGAATTCTATTGAAAGAAACTCACACATAGATGCTGTCCCAACTTAAACCATATATTCCAAAACTAGAATCAGCTCAGCTATCTTCTAACTGAAGAATTTATAAAAATTACGAGTGGATTAAAAGGTGTCAGTGTGTTACACTAACTAAAGGCATGCTCCCAGCAATAAAAACAAGCTACCAGTATACAACGAGAAGTTCAAGTCTTGAGGAAAAAAGGCCAGGTGAAGAGCTAGATTCAAAAGAATACATGTTATATGACTTTGTTTATGCACAATTTTAGATCCAGAAAAACTCCTGTATGGTGACATAAAGAAATCTGTGGTTGCCTGAGTGTAGAGGTAGGACTGACTACAAGAGGGACCAGAAAATGTTTTAGCATTCTAGAGTAGCAACTAATGGGGTAAGTCCTGTGTATATGTCAATAAAGCACTGTTGGCCAATAGGGAACCAAGATAGGTGGGACTAGGAGTCCAGGAGGACTCTGGGAAAGAGAAACACAGGGAGTCGAGATGTAACCTCCATGGGGTAGGAAGCCCCGAAATTTCTCCAGTAAGAGCAATACTTAGATTAACAATTATGGGATAAATACTTAAGTCAGAGCTAGCCAGTAAGAAACAAGCAAGGCCAACAGCTTCATAATTAATATAGCCTCCTGTGTGTTTATTTGGGACTGATGTGGCTCTGGAACCAGGCTAGCAGGAAGGCTTCCCTTTACAAGCAACTGTGGTAATTTTCTGGGGGAAAAGTTTGGGGTATGTGTGTGTGCTTTAAGTGTTTTGATGAGGTACCCTAAATGGGTGGATAAAGCTGCTCCCAGAAGCCATATGTTATTAAAAAAATAATAATAATCTCAGCACCAGGGGTGGAATATCCCCCTACCAGTTAGTCAGGGAGGTCCCTGAGACCCCCAGACAATACAGGAAATTATCACTGCTGTTGGTGCCACACACCAGAGCTAGAAGGTAAGACCCTATTACCTAAGACTCCACAGGCCTTAACTACAAGACATAAAGAATTCAGGCTGAACCTGGGCTGGAAGCTTGCTTCCTGCTGGCTAGCCCTCAGAGTGCCAGAGTGCAGACTGCTGGGGGAGAATTGCCAACAACAGTTTTACCCAGCCGTGGGCTGTGTGTGCAGTAATATTGACTGGCCAAGCATGATGAGCACCATTGGCAACCCTGTTACGGGGGTAAACAACTGCTTTTTCATTGGCTTTGATACCCAGTTCACAGGACAAAATTCACGTCTGGTAGCACAAACCCAGTCAAAAGCCTGTAGCTGGGGGGATGATGGGCTCTAGTGGGAAAGCTACTGATGTTGTTTCACTAAATAAACACAATGATGTGCCCATCAAATTGCCCTCTAAATCACTGTGTATACCCATCGAGGAGTGCTGCTGTCCATCTTGGTCGGAGAAACTTGTTTTTGTATTGGTCCGTGATGGCTATAGAAACGCATAATTGGTCAAAAGTACTGTGAATGGCTGTGGAGTGACCAGTCATAATTGGGACATCTGTATCACATCCTCCGTGGTCAGGGAGCATTGCAGAAGAAGGAGTAGAAAGATACACTAGGGGACAACTCAGCTTTCGTCTGCAGAATGGAGCTAGTCTATCAACACCATATACATCTTCAAAAGCAAACTGTGACCTTTACAGTTGTCCTGAAGTTCTATGGAGGGGAAAAAAATTACCTATGGAGGGGGCCACGGCTGTGAGCCCAGCACAGACAAGAGGGAAATAAGAGAAAGATGGAGGTGCCACCTGCCTGTCCACACCTCCAGCACAAGCTCCAGATCCCCATTATGGCCTCACCCAACTTCCCAGAATCCTTTGCTCTCATCAGGCTAGCTGCTTCTCTCCAGAGGCCTTGCCATTCTTCATCCTTGATACTATTGAGACAAAAACGCCACCCAAGACTGAGACATAAAATCCAGGTTAGTTAGGAGGAAAAGAGAAATTGGAGGAGGTTTTAAAGTCACAAGTCTCTGCAGTCAGGGTTTCAAAGCACTAAAGCCAGGCTTGTTGGCATAAGCCTGAAATCTCAGGATTTGGAATTGAGTCCCTAAAATGACAGCAAGGAGCATTGCCAAGTTCAAGTCCTGCCCAAACTACATATAGAGTTCAAGGCCAGCCCGTGTGAGATATTGTGAAACCCTATCTCCAAACACTGAAAAGAGAATATAGACCTCTCTAATATTATTCTGTCGGTGTCTGCTCACCTTGAGTCGCCTGTATCACTAACACAGCATCCTGTAAACCTGGAATCAGGGCCTCCCTCCTTAAAAGATTAGTGAGGTCAGAAAGACTGCTTACCAATGCCAGAAGGGAAAACTAGAAGACAGGAGAGCGGGAGAAAAAGGAGACCTTCATTCCAACATGCAAGGACGTGCGTCCCTGCCCCTATCTCAGCTATTATGCATTCCCAACTGGCCTGGCCAACATCCAGAGAGACTCCAGGCTGGTGAGTCCGCGAATGTGAGGCTGAGATAAGCCGGGCAGCGACGGGGAAGCTTGCCCAGGGTTATATATGGGCTGCTGTGCACGGACATGAGGAGCCATGGGAATCTTCGGTTCCCAGGGCATTTTCTGCATTCGTTCCTGCTCCCCAGGATTAAGGAGCCTCTCTTGCCCCCCCCCCCCCACTGTCAGTAAGCAGCTGCCTTGTGAACATGGAAAAGGAGAGGAGAGAGAGAGAGAGAGAGAGAGAGAATATGTGTGTTTCAATGTACGTGTTAAAATCCCATGGACCTTGGATAATTGTTTATAGTAAAACAGAGTAAAAGGCAC